GTTAAACAACTCTGTGACTATACCAAAAACTATTGAATTGTACTTACTTTGAGAGATAAACTGTATGATATGAGTTATATCTTAATAAACTGGCATATATAAATATACACATACTACATATAGCATATACATTTATTACGCATTATAATAAAAATATGCACTATGAAAGTATATTTATAGGTTAATTATATCCAAAAGAGAGAGCTAAGGATGAGAAGAAATTAGCCAAGGAATGGAGTATTTCTATATAGAGAAATGTGTGCAATGCAAGAAAAGCATGGTATTTTAGATGTGAAAAAAAAATAACACTGTGATGGAATGTTTCCTTGGTGTATAACAAAAGAGATGAACTGAAGACATGGGAAGGGCCAGATTGTGGGAGTGTTGGTGAAAGCCTTACTAAGGGTTTGGTGCTTTTATTCTAAAAACAATAGGAAGCCATTGTTGGATGACGTGATTGCTATGAGTTACAACTCTGGTTACTGATGTGGATTTTGGAGCCACAGGTTGGTAAAAGAATTTATCAAGGTGAGAGAATAAGTGAGCAAAGGTTTATTAGTACACTGTTAAGGGAAACAGCTGGACAACAAAGGAAGTGCTACTGCCTATTGCACCATGTGTTGGAAGTAGAGACTTGAAATGGAGAGGATAGGCAAGTTCTTCATCTTGCCAACTATAGATGAGTGAGCTCCTTTTCCCCTGACCTTTGGGTTTCACCAGAGAGTTGCTCTGGCCAGAGATCCTTAATTATCAGAACAAGGTTGTTCCAATAAAGAGTCTGTATAAGGCACAGGTCCTTCACCTCTAAGGGCAATGGTTTCCTGATGCTCACAAAATGAACCCCTTTGGGCCACACCAGAGAGTAGCACTAGTCAGAGACCAGCAATTGTCCCCAGGTCCAAATGCAGAACTACTAAATGTCCCTAAGTGAAAAAGGAAAAATAAAGTTGCTGTATGGGCTACCAAACTGTGGATCTCAAAGGTGTGGGTTGGTAGATTACAGGGTAAGAGAGCAAAGGTTTACTAGGATTCTGTTAAGGGAAACAGTGGACAGCTAGGCAACAAGGGGAGTGCTGCTGCATTGGTGTGAGATTCAGGGTAGGCTTTTTTGTGTACTTTTCTGGCCTAAATATGCTTTTCTGATTGGTTGTTTCTGGTACATCTTGCAGTTTAAGCATTTTTTGTAGTGTGACCTCAGCTTTCTTGAAGCATTTTATGCAAACATCCTTGCAGCTGGGCACAAACATCCTTGCAGCTGTGACCTCAGCTTCCTTGAAGCATTTGTGTAAGCATTCTTGCAGATGGGCATAAATATCCTGGCAGCTAGCTTCAGCCCTCACTTCCTTACTTGTGCAAATATCCTTGCATCTTTCATCTTGGCCCTCACTTTTACATTTACACAAACATCCTTCAGTTGTGACTTGACCCTCACTTTTACATCTACACAAACATCCTTGCATTGTGACCTGGTGCTCACTTTTACATCTGCATAGACACCCTTGCCCTGTGACCTGGCCCTCAGTTTTTATTTTTTGTGTCTTTGGCAGTACTGGGGTTTGAACTCAGGACTTCAAACCTTGCTAGGCAGGCACTCTACCACCTAAGCCACTCCACCAGCCCTTTTTTTGGTTGGGTATTTTTCAAGATAGGGTCTTGCAAACTATTTGCCCGGACTGGCTTTGAACCAAAATCATCCTGATCCCTGCCTGCTGAGTAACTAGGATTACATGCATGAGCCACTAACAAGTGGCCGGCCCTCAGAGTTTATTTATTTATTTATTTATTTATTTATTTATTTAGTGGTACTGGGACTTGAACTCAGGGCCTTCACTTTGAGCCACTCCACCAGTCCTTCTTTTGTTTGTTTTTGGTGAGGGGTTTTTCAAGTTAGGGCCTTACAAACTATTTGCCTGGGCTGGCTCCAAATCTCAATCCTCCTGATCTCTGCCTCCTGAGTAGCTAGGACTACAGACATGAGCCACTGGCTCCTGCCTGACCCTCAGTTTTATACCTGCATAAACATCTTTGCATTGGAACCAGGCCCTTACTACCTTCTTTTGCCTGAGTTAGTACCTTTGTTCCTGCCATGCCCCCATAAGGGGACCTTCCTCCACAGCTACCATGTATAGAATGAAGAGAAGGGACAGTCTGTTTGAGAATAAGATAAAGGGTATTACAATTCTCTGAGCACAAACTATTGTCATCTAACTTTAGGATAGTGGCAATGGGACTAGGCAGATTCACCAGGACTTGTGATAGACTGGAATTGAGATGCAGTACACTAGTAGAGTGGCAAAGGTGACCTGCCCACCTGGGAAATGAGTGAAATGGGAACACTAGAAGAGGACAAGTTTCAGGTTTAGGGAGCTAGATTAATCTTTGTTTAGATATTTTGAATGATCTAAGAAGGAAGCAAGGTTGACTTAAGCAATAACGGGCTCTCTTCATTGAAATAATTCAAGTCAGGCTAGAGACCTTTCTGGGGAGGAGAAAGCATTCTTGTTCTGGAATATGTAAGGACTAAATTAAGTTCCCATTCAGCTGTAATGATCTACTGCAAGAAAGTGTCATTTTGTTGGAATTTGTTCCCAAAACAGCTCATGGCTGAAACAAAACCCCTGGAATTTGCCTGGAGTTTGAATTCCTCAGAATTGTCCATACCAGGTTAATAATTAAAGGTTCCTCATACTGTCTAGTTTATTTGTTTCACCTGTGTACAGAATTTCAATTTCACAAAATCCTCCCACCAGTATTATTTTAACCCAATGTCAAAGAAAGGTATACGTATTCCAGCAACCCAAAGGCAAGTCTCTGCTAGCTTGGGAAGAAAAGACGTAGGAGGCTGCAAAAGGCACAGAAACTGACCCTGCCCAAAGACAAAACAAGAAGGGAGCTCCTGCAATGGCTAATCTTCTCTGTATTTTTCCTCACGCCCTCCCCAAGCATCTAGCACTTAGCCCATAAGGGTCCAACAGCATTATTTGGTTAATAAGTTCTTCAGACCTGGGATGGGGGGGTGGGTTGGGAGGAGGATAAAAAATTTTACATGTAAAATGAGAAATAGAACAGGCTCAAGAAGGAGGGAAAGGGAGAGGAGACAAGAGACTAAGGGGAGCAATTTTTTGTATCAGTTCTGCCAGTCTTACAGTGAACGGCAGCTGCCATCTCAGTCCCTTGAGACACAATTAGTAAAGACGTATCTAATGATCTTTTATTGACGATTATTAAATGCACTAGGAGAGGTAGTCTGGATTGATTTGACTTACTTTATCCCCACCAGATTCTTCTCAGTTGTTTACCTTGTACATTTTCACACACTGGGCACAAATGCCTCCAGTTCAGTGATCTTCCTGAGTCTTGCTTGGCCACTGTCATGTCTCTCCTGGGTAAGCATTCTGGCTTCTTTCCCTTCTGCTTCTTCAAAACTCAGAGCAAAACTGGCTCTAATTTGCATCCTTCTGATTTTGCTCATCTCTGAAATGGGAAGAACAAAAATGATAGTGGGAATAACACTAAAAGCCTATGGATTAGGTTGCTGTGGGGATTAAATACATTGCATATAGTTGAAGCCTTGTAGGAAACTACAAAGACTACACAAACAGAGTTTGGTTTATTGCCTTTATTTCTAAAGTAGATTTGATTGGTTAGAATTCTGGTGCTTGGGCTTTTGGTTGCTTGTCTCTTAGGGAGAAGATTCATGTGAGATGTTGCCAAATGTTTCAGAAGAAAAATCCACTCTAGTTAGGTGGGAGGTCAATCCACCTTGCACAAAGAAACTTTAAAAGCTGGAGGTGTGGGAAAACAAACTATGCAAATGTCCAGAGCGCCCAGGGCTCACGGGCCCAGGTGGCATCCTGCTACCTCACATGCTTGGAGAGCACTGTGGCCTGCTTCCCGGGTTCCCTCCAAATCGCTGGGTCTCTGTTTCGAGTGCATGCCTGCCAGGCCTGGAGAAGCCAACACAGGGCCCTGGGTGGTTTAACACTTTACACAAGTGAGATTTTGCAGGTGACCAAGAACTCCAAAAGCCCCTAGGCACTTCTGGTCAGTCCTGGATGACCGGCACACTCCCTCCCCGGCAGGCCAGTATTGAATGACAGCAAGAAATAGTTTTGGGTTTTTTTTCAGCGGCTGTAGGTGCCCCTGTGTTGGGAAAACGAAAGGGACGTGGGGGTCGATTTTTCTAGTCATCTCAGAATTGCATTTCCTGCCAGGTCAACCAGAAAAATGCTAGAACGATCTTGCAGCGCGGCGAGGAGGCCAGAGGCGCCAAGGCAGGAGCGATGTGAGATACCTGGCCGGGGGCAGCGCAGGAGGGTGGGGGGGGGGCGCTGTTCACTGGAGCCGCGGTCCCGCCAGATTCGCAGGGTCCTCGCATGTCCGCGGGCCGCCCCTCCGCAGGCCTCAGTTTCCATGTGTGCAAAATGGCCACACTATTAACTAATCTCTCTCGCTGACAGAAAGAGGGGCTTGGGGTGTCTCGGTTTCAGTCCGCTACAAAAACCACCCGCGAAAGCTGGAGGTTCTTTCGTTTTTAGTTCAACGGGAGGGAAAATACGGAATAAGACTTCCCTCCGTGTTAGCAAGACGGCTAGAGGAATTGACGGGGCTTATGGTGCATATGCATGTAAATGTGCACATGTGCACACATGCAAACTGCAAAGAGAGTCGAGGCCCAAGGCGCTCCGGTGTTAGGCGGGCTCCACCGTCTAAAGGAGACCGGATTACCACAGTTCAGCCTGGAGAAGCTGCGGGCCTTTCCTGCGCTTGCGCAGTAGCCGCGTTTCCCTGGGCCCCGCCCCCGAGCTCGCGCCGGACCCACCCACTTTCCCCCTCCCTTTCCCCAGCCCGGCGGTCCGCGCAAAGCATTGTGGGACACAAACAAAGTGCCCCCAAACAGGCTGGAGTGAGCCGAGCAGCGACGGCGGCGGCGCTGGCCCGCACGCGCGCGGCGGCGGCTCCCTCCCAACCTCCCCTCCCCTCCCCTCAGTCCCCTTCCCCTTCCCCACCCCGCCCCGCCGGGAAAACGCGAGCCGTCGCCGCGCTCCCCAAATCTGCCGCCTGTCCTCGGCCAACCGCCCCCAACGGCCGCCCGCGCGCGGCTCCCCGGGCCCCCTTGCTCCTCCCCTCAGGGCCCTCCAGTCGCCGGGGGTGCTTTCCTCCCCGCGCCGCGCACTCTCCCACCTCGCAGGCTCGCCGGTGGGCTGAGCCGCCATGCCCCAGCCACAGGCTGCTCACGGGCCTAGGCGCGGCGGCCCGAGATAGGGTCCCCTGAGTCTCCCGGGGGAGGAGAGGGAGCCAGCCGAGCGCTCCGCCCCCTCCCCCCGGGTTGTCGCCGCCGCCACCACCACCACCGCCACCACCTAGCCGCCTCAGCCTGGCGGGGAGGAGGAGGAGGAGGAGCAGCAGCAGGCCTCCGGGCCCCCGCACCGCCGCCCGCAGGTAACGGGGAAGGGAGGGCGAGCGGGAGGGCGGCCGGCCGCCGGTGCACTCGGGGTGCGCCCGCCCAGGGACTGACACCACGGGACGCCCACCTGGGCGCTTGTCTGTCACCCCCCATTGCGCCTGAAGACACCCCGCAGGGTCCCCTCTGTGTTTTTTAATCCTTGGGGAAGGAAACTGGCCTTGGGCCCCGCAGCAATCACCCCGGTTTTCCAGGGGCGCTCATTTGCACGCGCATGTGCCCAAACCCGAAGCAGGCGGAGGTGTAAACCCCCTCACCTGGTCTGTCTGCGAGCCTCAGACCTGTTTGTTCCTTCCTTTCCCTGCTGTGTTTTTCTCTGGTACTGGGAAGGAAAAGATGACACTTAAAAAAAAAAAAAAAAAAAAGAAGAAGAATGTAAAGACATCTTTTTCTTCCCTACCTGAGGATCACTGTGCATCTAGTCATTTTACTGTTGGCCTAAGCAGAAAAAGGGATTAATTATCCTCAAGTGAAATGACAAGTATGTTAGAAAGGAAACCGCACCTATTTGAGTTGTATTAACCTTAACCAGAATTTAGTATAAAGCCCAATGTCTTGGACTTTCTTGGAACTTACAGTAATCAGGACAAAAGCTTAGTGTCTTTTTAGCATATAAATAGACTTTCCGTCGAGATTAGGAAAAATTCTTTTTAACTTTTGCTTATTTTCTTAGTGCTTTATTTGGAGATAAGCTGATACCAGAAGCAAATTACACAATATGTTATAGATACCCAGTTTGGTAAAGATTTTCACTATCTTCTTTTTCCCTACGTTTTCAGTTGTAATTTGAATCTAAAATATAAATCTTCATTTTTCCCCATTCACTTTGGCTTCTAATAGATTAGGAATATTTAATGTTATCTAATGTAGTTTCCCCTTATGGAATGTGAAAATGTTTTCCTATTGTACAAGCGATTAACATTCATTAATTAGATTTACTTATTTTATGCAACACCGATAGGTATTTTACAAACGTAGCCTACTAATTCTGAGAACAACTTAACGACCTGGATATTATCACTTGAATTTTATAGATGTGACAGAATCTTAGTGATGTTAAGTGACTCACCTTCAGCGGCACAAGTAAGAAAAGTTGAGATTTGAACCCAGACTTAATTCCAGGGTAGGTGTACTTTCTGCCGTACCCCTCCACTAGAAGTACATTTTAGTTTATGTCAAGAAAAATTTCAGTCTTAACAAAAATTGGGGAAAAGATACAATGACTGCCCCCACTATCTAGACCCATTGACTAAAGTTTGCCATATTGTATCCTGCTCTTTGTTTGCTTTTTGTTTCTAAACAGGATCTCACCTGCCTTAACCTCCCAAATGCTGGTATTGCAAGTGTGGGCCGCCACATTTGAACCTTAAATATTTCAGTTTACACTTCCTAAAAATACATTCTTCTACAATACCTATCAAAATTAACATATTCAGATTTCCCCAGTTGTTACAAATTGACCAAGTTCCAAATTAACCTGCCTCCCCCTGACCAAGCTGTAGTCAGTCTAGATTCATGCATTTGGTGATTAAGTGTAGTTAATCCCTTTTGTTAACACATTCCACCTCTGCATTTTTCTGAGACCTAATTGACCAAACCAGTTGTCTTGTAAAATACACCTAACTTCTGACCTTGCCCTTGTCCTCCCAGTGTCATTTTCATTTATTTCTTTTCTTCCCCCTAACTTCCTTTGAAATCGTGGTCTAAGCAAAGCCTCCATAACCTTAAAGTAAACTTTATTTGTTGAGAAAACTTAATAGGTAATGCTATGTATCTCACATTGGAGATAGGTAATGTCAGATTGCCACAGTGTTAATGATGCTAAGTATGAATACTTGATTAAAGTGGTAACTACCAAATCACTTGTAACAGTGTGTCTTTAGTTCTTATTACATGTAACCTTAGGGTGATTTTTTGATACAATGTAAATATCCTGTTTCTGAGTTTTGCTTAGCACTCATTGATGACTCTTGCTTAGCTCAATAATTTTTTGGAGATTCTTTTTAGGGAATTTCTTAATTAGGTACGACTTAAATTACCCATAAAAATGCAGATCAAATGCCTGATGCCATCACTGAGGAAATAGTCACTACAATGAAGTTTTTTCTTTATTTTGGGTGATAACACCACATGGACTTTATTGTTTTATAACCAATATGATCCTTTTTCTTTTTGATGACCATATGGTCCCAGATTTGTAGTAGGAACCCTTTTAAACTGGCCACTGTGTTTTGACACATAGGCTCACTATTAATGTTGGAGTGCTTTCTGACACAAGATATCTCCAACTGCTTTGTGCTTTCTTTTGTTGCACATCTGGAAAGGACTGTTTATCCAAGGAGTCTTGGTTCTTTTAGTGACAAAGAGCATGTAGAAACCAAAATTGGGATGTTTGGTATATTCATTGCTTCTAGAGTGTCGTTGCTTCTAGGTCCTTTTGAGAGGAGAGTACTAAGAAATGGTTTTTTAGCTTGTTTAATCATGAGTTCATAGTGATATATCCACTTCAAATTTAGCATAGCAGACGTTTTCTTCTTTGATTCTATATTTGTCTCGTCTCAAATGAAAATCTTGGTACTGAATAAAATTAATAAACTTATTTGCTGCCATATACATAAAATCATTTTAAATTATAATACCAATATTACTGCTTCTGAGTGAAGTTGAAGGATTTTTTGCATGTATTTTTGTCCTTAGAATATATCATATGAAGGATATTTTTCCAGTACTATGTTCAAAAGCCATTTAAAATACTTCTAGTTATGCTACCAGCTTCACTTTTCTACTTTAGGATTTTATTTTTGAATATGTAAAATATACACAAGATTCAAAAGTCAGTGTTTCTTGTTAGTTTTTTTAAGGTAAAACATTCTTTCCCTTTGCCATTCTCCTTTTAATATCTATTGTCATTGTATCTTAAGGGCAGAAGGATTAGTAGTTTGTTGAGGCGTGTTACCTACCCATAGCAGTACTTAAAAGTTTTGCAGTTATATTCTGATTCCTCTGGCAAAGTGAAAGCACAAGATTAATCTTTAGAAATTACCAAATAGATTTCAAGCTTGCTTTTGCAGCTGTCATATTTTTAAATAAAAGTGAAACTGCAGCGTTTACTTGAAAATCATGTCTTTAAAAAAGAGGCATGTAGCTGGTAGAGGTTTTATGAGTCCATCTACTTTTATGCTACACAACAAAATTTACACATATGCTATCTGCAGATATAAAAGCATTTGAAGTTGTGATCAGTGAAGATAGCACATTTTGTTTGGATTGCACCAATTTGATAAAAATTCATAATTATGTGATCTCAAATACTATGTTCAGATGGTTTTAAGAGAAAGCGATAATTTTCTAAAGTAGGCAGAGCACAGTTAGTCATTTTATTGGCCTCATATCAACCAGTGCTGAAAAGCCAAAGTTGCGCCCACAGTGAGTTTTCTGTGTTCACCATCACTGCCATTTCCCTCAGAGTGAAGTGGGATGATAGAGGGTACATATGCTTTGAACCCATTCACCCTCATTCTGTCTTTAATCTCAGTGACTCGCTACCCAAGATTGTTAAAACAGATAAGATTATGGGAAAAAAAGTGCTACAAGTAGTTGCAAGGGTATGTATACCTATATAGCAGCCACAGCCTATTGTGGCATACTGACTGTATGGACTAATATGGTGGTAATGATAATTGCTAACATTTGTTGTGCCCTTCCTATATGCCAGTTTTGCTAACCATTTTATATATCATCTCAGTTAAATCTCACCCCTACCCTCTGATATTGCTGTTAGTATCTTTTCTCAAAAGAAAGGGAACTGATATCTAGAAGGACTAGATGACTAGCCTAGAGTGTCCCAGTTAGTTAGTGCCAGGCCCAGCTTTCAAACTCAAGTTTGGCTTCAGAGCTAGCACTTGGCTCCCTGTTATACCTCAGGACCAGATGTAACAAATCATAAAGCTGAATTCATTTTCAGTCCCCTTGAATAAGGAACCACATCACTAATCTTATCCAATACTAAAGTTGCATATGTACTTGTCATGTTTTTTATACACCCTTAAATTTCCTCTTCTAAGAAATGTGGGAATTCCTGTTCCCTTTGTCAAGAACTGCATTTCAATAACACTTTAATAGACATTTAAAATTTATAAAAACTCAAGATGGGTTAATGAATGGGTAGATATGTGAAAAAACAAGTATATTATAATAGAATGTTAATGATAGAACATAGATATGGCTATTTAGGCAATCAACTGTGAGTTTCCTATAATTTTGTGTGTATGAAAATTTTCACAGTAAAATGTTGGAAGGATTGATTAAAAATATATCCTTATTGGCTGTGCCAATAAAATACAATAGCCATGTTCCTGTATATGATGAGTATTTGAAAATTCTAGTAAGTCTTCCTGTCCTTGTAAAGAATAAAATTCCGTAGTCACTGAAAATGGCCAGACATCAAAGACTGTTTTCAAGAGGATTCCCTCATTTCTTAGGAGACTCCTAATTAATTAAGCTCCTTCCAAGTATAATTTTTAAGTACCCCTATAAATATTACATATCCAAATAATTTCCCCCTTGTGGTTTCCTAACATTTTGTAGACTGCTTTGGAGTATACTCTTTCTGTAAGCTTTTATAGGGTACTTTTGCTTTAAATGCCACCACATTCACTGCAAAACAAATAGTTCTCCTATCTCATAGTGGTTGTTTAAAATTTTTCTCCTGTTAAGCTGAAAGTTACATTAGTTTTTCTTTGTTTTTGATATTAGAAATACTTTAACCCATTTTAAGACATGAGCCAGAGATCCTATGGAGTCTTGATCATACATTCTAAAATAGTGACTATTTATATGCCTTTAAAAATAAAAAAGCAATAGATTTATATTACACTGAACCTGTTCTGCCCTCTTCTCCAATTTTGTTGAGGAGAAAACATAAAGAGATAATAAGAAAGACCTACTGTTTTTGCTAGTTTGGGATATAGCTAGCCAT